AGAAAAATCTTTTTTCACCCTACTAGGAACCAATCCCCAATTCCTCAGTTATCCAGTCCCTAGTCTAGGCTGTACACCTGCTCAGCTGGCAAGGAAAACATATCCATGAATTGGAATTATTTCATTTTCTCATGCCTTTTGTCACTGCAATATTTCATTTTTCCCTGCAAAATATTTTAATCTGTCTTAATATATTTGAAACACCAGTACACATCGGCATCCCTTTCTATAGGCGGTGATTTCTCTCGTTTTAATTAAAAATAGTGAAGGATCTGGGGTAGCTCAGTTGGTGTAGTGACTGTGGACTGGCATGCAACGTTTGATTCCCAGCAGAGGCAGAAATTCTTCTTTTGCCATCACATGCAGACCTGCTCTACAGTCCACCCATCCTCCTATGTGATGGGTAAAGCAGTTGAAGATGATTTTAAGCTTTCATGGTGACTGAATGCAGTGAAGTCTTTGATCTGCGTATCAGTAAGGAATGAACTTCAGACTCATGTCATGGGTGTCGCACAGGATCACTGTTTACAGCAATGGTGGTCAATTTGCAAACAGTTCATAAACTTTCTGCCTTATTCCACTCCTACTGAGGTCACTGGATTTAAGATTTTTGCTGTTTATTTTTACCTTTTCACTTTCCACTCTTGCCTGGAACTTCTGATACTTTTTGAATCATAACAGAGGCTCTTGAGGTACTCATTGTTTTAGATGTGTCACTTGCTGTGCACTTTTATATAAAGAACTAAACACGGTATGCTGTTACATGCTGTTCAGTGCCTGACCATATTTCTTCCCGACATTAGAAGCTTTACATATTAAAAATATTGCATACATTGTGCCTCTGCATTACACAATTTTGCCCCTTACAGAAATATATATATATATACTGTACATAAAATTCATGATATGGGCCAGAAATTTTGTCCAGGCCCAAGGCCCTTTATAACATTCTGTAATAAAATTATTTTTACGGTAAGGAGTTGTTAGCCTCATGCCAAACCCCTAAGCTGGAGGACCTCCCTTTGCTGGCTGTCCATGACTGCTTATTCAGTATATTCACAGCTACCCTCCATATAAGGAGGCCATCTCCTCCATCTGCAACCTGAGGACGCACCATGCCGTGGTGACAAGTGATCCACTAACATGAATTAGGTACAGGTATTATTTGTACATAAGGGAACCATATCAGCAGTTAAGAGGGTAGAGTTTGTTAGTAATAGGATGTACATAATACTAAGAGATCACTAGTGTGATAACACTGTTCTGAATGTTCACGCCCCAACAGAGGACAAAACTGATGATGCGAATGACAGCTCCTATGAGGAACTAGAACATGTGTTCGATAAACTCCCTAAATACCACATGAACATTTTGTTAGATTTCAATGCCAAGGTAGGTACGAAAGACATTTTCAAACCAACAATTGGGAATGAGAGTTTACACGAAATTAATAATGATAATGAAGTTAAGGTAGTAAACTTTGCCACATCAAAAAATCTGACTGTCCCACATTGTAACATTCATAAATTTACTTGGGAGATCTCGTAATCAAGTTGACCATATTTTGATAAATAGGAGATGACATTCAGATGTACTTGATGTCTGATCTTTCAGAGTAGACTGTAATATTGACCATTATCTGGTGGTGCAAAAGTTAGGGGAGGACTGACAGTGAGTAAACAATGCACAAATTTTATATGGATACATTCAATCAAAAGAAATTAAACAAAGTAAAGTTAAAGACAACTATCAAGCTGAAATCTTAAATCGGTTCACAGCTTTGGAAAAGTCAAGTCACTGAGGTGGATATTAATAGCTTGGGAAACTATGACAAAGAATATAAAAATTTCAGCATAAGAGAATATAGGTTTACAATATTATATTTAAGCATCCTGTTGCACTCCATACGATAAATGATATAAACTCCGTCTCAAGTGCAAACAATATATTTTGTGTCTTTGATCTTGCTCCCTACACTACATGTTTCGGCCTCAGACGGCCATCATCAGGTGTATAACACTCACGTCGCTGTCACACTGCACCCAGTTCAAAATTTAACATCTAAAACACTCTCCCTGTCATTATCAACTTCTACTTCGTTGATAGCTGTCCACCCGTAGATTAC